ATTGATTGCATTTGAAGCAGTAAGTTTTACATCATCTCATTGAAGATGTTAACAAATAAATCAGATGATGCACCAGCAATTTAGTGATATCCCCACAGAAATAAAATCCAGAGTCCTTTAAGTCTGAGACACAAAATAAGACAGAGTACAAATGAGGTTGAGACCGAGACAAGACCAAGACCTTCAAAAAATAGTCTTAAGACCTGTCTCGAGTAATACAACACTAGTTTATAACTCATAAGAGTCATTAGCTTGGTATTCGGATTTCACTGGTCATACTGTCCAAGATTCCCAAGAGTCATTCGATTAGGGAATTAAACTTAATTGGTCATGCTGCATGTTTTATGCTGAATAGTAGAACAGTATTTTAATATGCAGTGTGAGACCCATTTCTGGAAGCAAACATCATGAAAATAATTTTGCTTCTGGGTTTTAAAAAAACAAATAGTACCGGTTCTCAGCTCCCAACCCTAGTCATGACCTAAAAGGGTGCTTGCTGATGCATGCTGGGAGTTCTTGAGAATATGCACATCTATTGATATTTTATCAGTCTCCACTAATATACTGCACTGACTTGATCTGTTTTGTTGTTGTTGTTGTAAGGATTCTCATGCCCATGTCAAATCACCCCACCCAGGCAGGTCAGAACAAGCACAGTGCTTTGGATCGATATGAAAGATCAACCAGAGATCAATAGGTGTGTGTACATACAATCATAGAGAACAAGGCTTTGCTTAGGCCACTGAATATAAACTGGAGGGATGCTGTGCTCTCATTTATGCCCAGAGCAAAGTCGCACATTAGCACTAACCGACTGTTTGCACGGAGACGCTAGAATTAAGTGATCTCCAGCCAAGCTCATCCTCAGTTTACTGACACCTCTGAAAAGAAGCCTGTGATTAACGCAACAGCCAGACAACACAACTATTATTTAGACAGCTTGTATGTGTGTTTTATTGTCTGTTGCGAATGTATGTGGATGTGCCTTTGTGTGGGTGCAGTGTAGTTATTTGTTGCCCCTTACATTTGTGTGTAAACGTACACATTTATAAGCCTATAAATCACAGCTCATTGATGAATTAGCCTAGTGTCAAAACACCAATCATTTTTAAAATTAAAAGGAATCATGCTTTAATAGGGTTAGTTAAACCTAAATTTAAAAAAAAATTAATGTTGGGTCATCATTTACTGTCAATCCCCAAAAAAAAAAAAAAAAAAACTTTTATCGAGAAATTTACATACTATTGTTTATAGTAAACAATAAAGTAAAGCTCCAAAAATGACAACAACAAAAAAAGCATCCTAACAATAGTCCATATGACTCACTTGCTTTGTTTAAAGTTTTCTGAACCCATACAATAGCTTGTATAAAAAACTGTATAAGGCAGAGCGGTTCCACTCTTACATATACAGGTACACCCTTAAAAAAAGGTTCCAAAAGGGGTGTTTCACAGCGATGCCAGAATCATTGTGGGTTCCCTAAAGAACCTTTCAGTGAACAGTTCTTCTTGAAAGAACTATTTTTCTATGGAAGCATATAGGTAGCAAAATTCAATTTAAAATGCAATATGCAAAATGGCAATGCAATATTCAAAATGGCAACGCAATATTCAAAATGGCATTGTATTTCTGTATTTAAATTTACATTTTCCATTACCCATACGTGCAAAGTTTGGTGCAAAAGTAAAATGAAAATTAAATTATATAATTTACATTTGCCATTTCCAACAGTAGTCTTAATATGTAAATTGCATGCAACTTTGAACGCTTTATAAGTTGCGAAATAAAAATCAAAATGTATAACACAAATTGATTTGATATGTGTAACATGTCCAAGCAGAAATGGTAGCAAAATTATCATTTAAATGCTGTTTGTCCTAAATGCATTTAGACTAACAGTTAGAACACTTAGGATTGCATTTTCATCATGACGTCGTGGGATATTTGTAGCAAAATTCAATTTGAAAATGCATTCTGAGCTGACCACACCCACCCTCCGTCACTCATTGCTTCAAGGCAGGGATTGGCGGAAGCGTGGTACGTTTGGATCGTTTGAAACATGGCGGCTGGAGATCTGATAAGATCATTGAATTCACTGGCAGATGAAGTGGAGCGTGAACAGAGAAATATATGAAGCGTATTCCATGCTAAAATCAAACATTCGAACGACCGACCGATCAAACGTCTTGAGCTTTGAGCGTCTTACACTGCGGGTGACCCACGTGACGTCAGCGTCTTGAAATTAGCTGGTGTTTAAACATTTAAGGAGCCAAGCTGCTGTGTAAAGACTATAAATGGACATTACAAGCATTACAATAATGATATTTTATACCTAAAATAATACTCAATCATTTCCTGCATCCTGCTGTACTTCCCTGAATAAGTCTTTAAAGGTGTTGTAGGCTAATAAGTCGTTCTGAGTAATAAATTGAAAAAGCTCCCACCTGTATATGACTAAACAAAATGACATGTAGTTTACTTGAGGTTCTGTTATAAATGTGTCTATTAGAAACATTAATTGTTTTAATTAATTAATTATACAAAAAGATGTTTGAATTAAGAGTTCCTGAGTTTTTGAACGGAAGTCCTGAATGACTGTTATTAAAGGTCATTTAATGCATTTTAATGATTTTCAATGCCCCGCAGAAACCCTGCCTTTGTTGGAAATGTAAATTTGTGTTTGTGTTTGACTTATGTAAAATCATGTTTGTGATTATGTTATAACACTTTTCAGTAATAATATTTCATATTACAGTAAAGTGTAGTAGCTTTTTTAAGTTTCTGAAATATCCTATAATTGTAACACTCAGAGGTAACGAACTCTATACTTTATGAAAAGAAAGGAAAACAAATTTGGCGGAGTTAAAAACAAACATTGGCCCTCCAGGAGCGGGACTAAGAACCCTGACTAGATCTTCACATTAATTGAATGTTATTTATCAACACCATCTTTAAATTTGCAACATCTGTTGTAAATATATGTATAGGCCTATGTTTAAATATATACATTTACTGTAATATGAAATATTGTTACTGAAAAGTGTTATAACATAAGCAAACTTAAATTGAATTTCGCTACCTATATGCTTCCATATTTTTCTTTGTGTGAAGAAATAATCAGAATAATCTTTTAATAGTCTGAAGAACCTTTTTTACACTATAAGGAACCTTCTGTACAATGGAATCATAGATGAACCATTAAAGAACCTTTATTTTTAAAAGTGTATAAATGGGAAAAATGTTCAATATGGTGACTGTAGGCCTGACTTTTAAAGTTAGAAGTTTCTGATACAGGCATTGCAGCATTCAATATAGTGGCTGCAGGCATGGATGTCCATCTTACAGCTATAAGAGGCAGAACAATTCTATCAAAGTCTATCGGTCAAATTTTATTTCTGACTAGAATTAGAAGCCCAGAGGCATTATGAATATGACTTAGCTTAAAGGGACAAAATCCTAATTAAATGTAAGCATCTCATTCGCTTTTGATGACAACCTTGTGTAACATGCACTGATGTGCCGAGTTGGAATATGCATTTGCGAGAATGAAATCTAATAGCTGCAGATGCTCAACAGAATAAAAAGTCATATGGTTTTGGGATGGCATGAGTAAATGATGACAGAATTATCATTTTTGGGAGAACTGTCACTTTAAAACAGAGAGACGTCAGTCCATTTTCTGAATCTTGATTGAATTGTTATACAATGAAGATTATCTGTCATGATCATCTCCGTTAATGCATCCAGTCAGTTATAACCTGAGAGGGGAATTAAACAAAGCTATTGCTGAATCAAAGTCCAGCATTGCTGCTTTGAGTCTGCATCATTAGTTTACCTCAACTGAAGAAAGGTATCTCCCAGCACCAGCCTCAGGTCTGTGAGTGGGCTCTCAGAACATATGCTCAACGCACACCCAGGAACGAACAGCGTCAGCCCCCGCGCACACACACACAGAAGCGTTAAAGAGTGGGATTTCCCTAATGGACACTGCTGCTTTGCACACACACACACACACTTCCTCTCACTCACAAGTATCTTGGCGCAGGCCTTTCTAATGCACTAATGAAGCACCACAATACCAAGAGGATTTCATGAATCTATCAAACACCCACCATCAGGACAGATAACAGTCCTCTGATCATTACTATTCATTTTTCAGTGATTGCACAAAACCAGTGTTCAAGTTTTCATGTTTTAATGACAGTTTTTTTCTATAGATGCAAAATTGTAAGTATTTCTTCATATTACATTAATATATAATATTCATATTATATTAGTAATTTTAATCAATTCGTTTTAATCAGATTAAAATGGCAAATGAACAATAAAAATTGGTTTAACATAAATAAAATGTTTGAATATTTGGTTTACCTAAACATGTACACCACCAACATTTGGAATTGGTGAGATTTTTTTTTATGTTTTTGAGTCTGTTGCTTATAAGGCTGCATTTATTTGATACAGTAAAACAGTAATATTGTGAAAAATGTATGCAATTTAAAATAGATGTTTTCTATTTTAATATATTTTTAAACGTCCTTTTTAGCAGCCATTTTTTCCAGTTTTCAGTGTCACGTGATCCTTAAGAAATCTTTTTAATATGCTAATTTGGTGCACAAGAAACTATATTATTTTCAAGAAAAATGTTTTATTATTATCAGTTTGAAAACATTTGCTACATTTTTGTGCAAAATCAAATATATTTTGTATAAGATTTTTTGATGAATATGAAAAGTTTCAAAAGAACAGCATTTATTTGAAATATAATTCTTTTGTGACACTATAAATGCCTTTACTGTCACTTTTGATCAATTCAATGCATCCTTGCTGAATAAAAGCATTACTCCCCTTTAAAAAATCGTATTGACCCCAAGCTTTCAAATGTATAAAATGTATAACTGCTGACGTCACACCCACTATATCTGTCTTTGCTGTCTTTGTGATAGTCTGTTTCTTGTGTTAACTTGCGGTGGACTGTGGAGTGTGCTGTGGAGTCTCACCTTCACTGGAGGATCCTGACAGATCAATGATGACGAACACTTTGCCCTCGGGCTCCAAGTCGATCTGTAGAGAGGAAACAGAGAGAAGAAACCAATCAGAGGAGAGCATCCCAGCACAAAAGGGAGACATCGAGAAGCACATTATTCACTGACTTTGTGAAGGCGCTCTGTAAACATTTCATTCAACATCACCTTTACTTTTATGAGCTGATGTCAAAGTTCACGATCCCTGTAATAGATTCCCTCTGTGAATCTCTCTCTACAGGGATGGGGCCCCATGCACATGCGCTAGCTAACTTCCTGCTCTCTGCCTCTTTTTGTTGTCTATAAGGAGGGAGGGTGGCAGAGAGTTGGCAGGGAAACTGCTTGGGTTTTATAATTCCTTTTTAAACAATTTCCTGCCAGTGCAGCACATCCCGAGCGACCCACGCGGGCCCGACGCCTAGCCGAGATTCGACACCCACTCGCCATCAGCTCGGCATGGGGGAAGAGGAGCTGGGAGAGGCACCAGCTCCACAATGTCAGGAAACCACTGCTTAATCTTATTATGCAGAGAGAGAGAGCGAGAACACAGGCCCCGCAGTGCATATGTGGAGGTGGATGGAGGTGTCGAAGAGAGAGATATCGAGCTGCATTCATAGAGCATCTCAAAATAGGAGGCCTGTTTTATTTTTCTTTTCACAGCGATCTAGATCACCAGGGACGCGGCGGACCCGGTGCCAGATCAGCACTCCCGGTCTTAGCCTCTTCCTGAATATAAGAATTAGGACATGGGGAACGGCACAAGCTCATCTGATGGGCTCTGCAGCAGAAACGATTTCGTTTGCCCAGATTTCAGTCACAGTTTGTGCTGCGGGGGTTGCATTTCTGTCATTTTGCCCCGAGTTTAACCTGCTCTCTCAGCTGGAAGGGGGAAAAACAGATTTATTCCTTCCATTGCTGATGAAATCATCAAGTTTTGCTGCACTTTTGAAAATTGAGCCTGTCGCACTCTCAAAACTTGAACATATCAGACCTGCGGGCATATGATGAAATTAAAACCAAGTCACTTTAAGACGAAAGTTATGACTGCAGAACTGCTGATGATGTCATCTGAAATGCTAACAGGGTGATGACATGTCTGTTATTCAGCCACGAGGCCCCTCCCCCCACGGCCTCTCCCTGTGATGTCATGAGATTCCATTCAACAGCAGCCTCCTTGAGTGCGTTTGTCTCAGAGGTGCAAACGGCCACTAAATTTAGCAGAGGAAGGAAAGGCCACTGCATGTGTGTGTGTGTGTGTGTGAACACACAAAGATGGAGCGGTGTGTTCTAGTCTTACTGATGACACTCTCCAGGAAACCAGTATCATGCTTTGCTAAACAATGTTGGCAAGACTGCTTTGCTGGTCGTGCATGTGAGTTTGTGAGCCTGTCCAGCCGTCGCCAACTTATAAGCTCTTTCCAAAGCTGCTGTCATCATACAAGCTCAAGGACAGCCTGCAGACGGCAGTCTAGTTATAGTCATCAGCACGCACACACTCTAGAATGTAAAAATCATTTTCTTTAAAATTATTTTTATCTAGTTTTCCAGCAAAAATGTCTAAACATCCTTCAAATAAGACCAATTTATGACTTATGTAAGATTTTACTTGTTTCAGAGTTTTTCTAAAGTTTTCCATGTTTAGAAGCATAAACCTTGGTAATTTTGATAGATTTATGCTGTCAATTAAATCAATATTTGTGTCTTTTTCTCCAGTAAAAAAAAAACTACACAAAATTTTAAAGTTGCACATACATATACATATCAAGATATATTCTTAAAAGAAAAGGTTATTATCTTAATTTAATATACTGTTTAAAAATTACTGCCCCCCCCCCTGTATCTCCAACAATAAAGATGTGTTAATGAGCATCAGCTAAATCCTAAAATGACAATAATGCTTGTGATTTTGTTGTCTTTATTCACATGCACAAACAAATACAGCAAAAGAGGAATTCATGTGAATTTTGGCCCTCCATTACTAAAAGAAAGAGAGCATGTGGCATTATACTAGTCTATCTTATATGGCTCAATAGATATAGATCTTTGCATAAATTAGATAAATCCCAGATTTGAGGTCTCAGACTTTTACACCACATTGTACATTACTCTAAAACCTTTTGCTAACTGACAGCGGATAAACTGATGTAGTTAATCTGTTTGCTGCATGTGATGAGCTTGACCAGAGACAGATATACAGCAGCCTGTCAATCAATGCTGATTTGTCCCTTTTGAATAATGTAGAGCAGCACTGCTGCAGAGGGTTAGATCACATTACTTGCAAAGGGAAAGAGTTTCTTCCTGCTTTTTTTCTGTGCCTTTTCTCTCTTCCTCATTTTGTGGCATCTCTGAGGTTTGCTCTCTCTCTCTGTCCATTTTGCTCCCCTTTTTTCATACACACATCTCATAACATACCACTGTAATGGACTGTTCACACCTGCACAGAATGAAGATACACACATGACTTTGCTTTTAATTTATTCATTCTAAAAATGTTAATATTCATTTAAAAATATAATATAAATGTATCAAATAATAATCATTAAATAATAATGATAATATTAATTATTAATAATACCGCAGTATTATTAACTTAAAATACAAAATTATTTAAATTCAAATAAAATATGTAAAGAGAGAGGTGTAAATAAATGTACACTCACATTTACATATATATTAAACACGATTTTTACATTTTGAATTAAAATAACTTTTTAATTAAATTAAGTTTTTAATCAATAATCCTCATTATTAATAATGATTATATATTATATAGTATATGCATTATAATATATATTATACTATATATTCTTAATGCAATATACATATGAATATTTATATTTGTATATCTACTTACATAACTGCTTATATATTTGTATATACATGAATATTTTGCAATTAACTTAAGATGTTTATATTTAGAACATTTTAAATTTTTTACTTTTGTACTTTTTGTTTTGTTGCGTACATTATTTGCAGTGCTTCATGTGTAGTTCATTGCCTCATAATTAATTACACAGTCTTGTAATGATGAGAAGTTGTAATGATGTGATCCCTGTAAGAGCTGCTTGGTTTGGTTCATGGCTTAAAATTATTTCTTAAATAATTTTAAAGAATTAAATGGGAAAATACTAAGTTCCTGAAAATCCTGGACAGTCACTGAAGCACTCCATGCACAAAATCAATCATAACAGTGAATGCTATTGGGGTCAAACTAAAGGCATCATATGGATATCATGAGGACATAACGGGAGAGTAAAAGAGAAGAGCAGAGAGAGAAAGGAGGATAAAACCCAGAGATAAGCCGTGGGACATAATCAGCTCCTCTTATGCAACACCCTGCAGCTCAACCTCGTCCATGCCCACAGCTCAAGAGGCTCACTGTCCCTCCCTTTAGAAAAGGGCTATCACATATGAGATCTCTTTAATATTTCAGCTGTTTCACCAAGACAGAAATGACATGACATGGAAAACAATTAGAGACTGTGAAGAATCTCCTGCCTCACAGATTTTCTAAAAGGCCCTAGTAATCTCGTATGAGCTTCAGAATACAGATATCAATATATCTCAAAATCTGCTCAGATTTGCCAAGATACCAAAGTCTTCAACAGACTTCAATATTAACTTAAACATTTCTCCAATTCTATCCACAACAATTACTAGATCAATTCTCTTACTGAATATCAACTATTGTCTCTAGTTTTATTTGTCCTATTAAGAATTTTAGGAAAATCATCAGAGAGTATCAGAAAGCACAAGTATACTTTTCCGTGCCCGACAAGATGTTTTTAAAGTTGAAAATTACAAAATAGATAATACACTGTTCAAAGTTTCAACAAAAGTATTTGGACAGTTTCTAGAACTTATCTGGGACGTTAGTGGAGCACGTTGAATAGGACATTAGTGGAGCACGTTGAATAGTTAATGCGATGAACTACACCTGTGGTTACTCTGCAAGGACATTTGGGAGAACTTGAGGAGAACTGACTTCATACATCCATTAAAAATCACCTCAGGGCCAGTTGTTTCACGCATGCGCGCCGCTTATGCCATTGTAGTGTGTATGCGGTAAGGCTATATCAAGTACAACATGAGGAAAACAAACTCTTGCTCTGGTTACTGTCCTCCAGTGCCTGAATGTGCACCCTTCATTGGCCCTAAGTCTCTTGCTTGCCCTCTCTCTGTTCTAATCACAACTGTGCAAACAGATACCCAGTTACCCACAAGCCACAGAAAACACATGCCGCTCACGCTCTCCCGAACACACGTCTCTATGGAAAAATGCTTAGTGCTGGACTGGTGAAGTGGATTCTGATTCTGTCTATCAATGTTTTTAGCATTTAAAAGCTGGGAAAAACATTCTGAAAGTGATTATAACTATATCATTCCTCTGTATTGTGGACTTCCATATTCTCAAAGAATTAGAATGATTATAAAACTTTGTAGCTATCATTATTGTTGTAGTTATTGTCCATGTTGTGAACAGGCCTTTACTCACCCTCATGTTGTTCCAAATCCGTGTGACTTTCTTTGTCACTGGAAAGTCATTAACTTTTTTAATGGGAAAATAAAGAGACATTTTTAAAAGTATCTTTGTTTCACAGAAGAAACTAAGTCATTCAGGTGTTGAACGACATAAGATTGAGTAAATGACAGAATTTTCATTTCTTAGTAAGCTAACCCTTTTTGGTTGAATTTGTTTGTATGATGTACTGGGAAGAAAGCTCATGCTAAATTTCCACCTTGTACATTCAGCACTAACGTTATATGTGGAGGTGGTTGCGATTTATGGATCCATGTCTCAGGACTAAATATAAAAAGTGATGCGTCAATCCCAGACCATCCAAAAAAAAGTGGACTGTTTCTTTAAGAATGAAAAATGAAAGGAGTGAGGCTGTGTTCAAGCAGTTCATTACATTAAGCTGTTAGTCCTATTATGACTGTTGATTTGACTAGAGGATAGGGAACTGAGACTTCTCTGTAGGGATGCGTGAAGAGAAAGAAATACTGCGACTGAAGACAGTCTCCTAACCATGCACTTGG